TTCTTTCTGAGGCCTGTGTGGGACAGATGGGGCCTGAGACCTCCATTGTCACCTTTAGGGAAGAGTGTGGGGATCTGTGCAGGCCTTCAACAACAGCGCCCCCTCTCTAGCCCATAGGTATCCTGAGCTGGAGAGAGGGAGAGAACAGGTAGATGCACCTAGGGAGACCCTACTTGTTCTCACAAGCTCCTTATGGTGAATATGGGTTCATATGGAGGACCCTGGATGTGGGGACCGGTCCACCTTTCCATGGGGGCTCCACAGAGAACACACTGAGGAACTGGGCAATCTGTGTGTGAGGGGATGGAGGGCACTAACCAGACACTCACATGGACACAGAGCTCAGACCCTTGGAGAACAAGTCCCTCCTGATAACAGCACTGCTGCACCCATGGGCGATCTTCACAGACACTGCACACATACACACACAAAATACTTAGACCAACACACACACACAAATACACACATGTAAACACATGAGCACACAGTAACCTATGTGCATGTACATATGTGTATATGTGCACTTTCCCAGAAATGCATCCACATGTAAGCACAAACATGGCACACATATACACTCACATTCACAAACATACGTACACAGGCAAACACAAACACATAGGCACATGTGCACTCACTCAAGCACACACATACACATGCACAGTCAGGCATGTTCATACATATGTGGCCTCACATGCACACAGGCATATATATATAGACAGAGAGAGAGATACCCTGACACAAACATGCACACACTCACATGCACACCTATGCACATACATACAGGTATACACACAAATACATGGGCACATATGCACTCACACTCACACACATACACACAAGTGCACACATATACACTCAAGCACACAATGCACACATGTACATATATGCACACATGCACACTAGGGCATACATGCAAACACATGGGCACAAATACACTCATTCACATGCACACATATGTAGACATGGGTGTATGTGTACAGACAACTATTTGTGCACATTCACACACACATATACATGTACACCTATACAATGCCTTCCTGTGTGTCCCTGTAAGAAGAGTACCCAGCTCACATGAACACACACACCGGCCTCCTCCCATCCCCTCAAAGTTGCACATGACTGATTGACAAATTTTCTAGCTCCCTTGTACCTAACCAGTTCATAGAAGACTGCCTACCCACAAGTACCCGTGTGCTCCCTCCCAGACCCACCTCGAGCGCACCCCAAGGGAGTAGGCCTCCTGGTCTCCTCCCATCACCATAAGCACACTCCTGTGATGACAAAGATGGGCAGCAGCCTCCTGCTCACTCACTCCTGCACCTTCACTCATGGGCTCGGAACCTCTCACGATGCCCAGCAGCACAGGCTCACTCCTCAGCACCAGGCTTTCTTGTGGAGGGCAGGCTCTGCCGTCCCTCCTGTCCTCTGGGCCTTCTCACCCAGGTGAGAGGCACTGGAGATGGCTGCACGCTGCAGGGGAGCTTGGGGTGGCCTATTTTCCAGAGGGCACCTTATGCTGCCCTGATTATCCTCATGCTAGTGGCCAAATGAAAAGGTGTGGTTCCCACATCTGGCCGGGCTGTGATCAGTCCAGGGGATACCACCTGTGATGGGGCCTGAGCTGTAGGAGAAGGATGGGACTGAGGACAGTGCCCGAGGCTGGGGAGGGGTCCCCAGCACTTTTTGCAAGAAACCAGGCATGGCCAAGTAGAACTGATCTTGGGGATGTGCTGGCCTGGTCCTTTCTGAGAGGGGACAGGCGAGGGGACTATGGTACCACCACCCAACATAGATGGGGCCTTCCTCCTGGACATTCCTGCCCCCATCCCTGGGCCAGACCCCATGGAAGGGACACCTACACTGACCCCCTCATTCCCCTGTAGAGCTGCACCCAGACGAGAGCTGTGCGGAGGCCCAGGATGGGGAGCTGGACGGGCTGTGGACCACCATCTCCATCTTCATCACACTCTTCCTGCTCAGTGTGTGCTACAGTGCCACCATCACCCTCTTCAAGGTCGGCCCCCAAGGCAACCAACTGCACCAGTCCCCAGCCAATTGCCCCCCCCGTGGGGGCTTCTCTGCCAGCACAGGCCCTCTGCACTGAGCAGGCAGACCTCAGGCAGGTGGTCAGAGGGAGGGACAGGGCCTCAGAGACTTAGGATCTGGGGGCTACAGGGGCCTGGAGCTGCCCCACTCACTGCCACTGCCCTGTCACCCACAGGTGAAGTGGATTTTCTCCTCCGTGGTGGAGCTGAAACAGACGATCGTCCCTGACTACAGGAATATGATCGGGCAGGCAGCCTAGGGGCTGCTCTGAAAGGAATCCACAGCAGCTGGACCTGCCATCAGCTTCAGGTGCTCCACCTGCCACAAGGGTCTCACCATATCATCTGACCCTGCCTCCCAAGACCCCACCCATTGCCTTCTGATCATGCTGCCTTGCCTCCCTCCTATCAGAGAACCTGGTGCACAGCAGGTTCTCCAGACCTCAGTGGCCTGGACTCCCACCATAGCTAAACAGCATTTTCAGCAGCACTAGGAGCCCAGATGGGGTCAGCACACCAGGACACCTTCACAGTCAACTGTGCCTGTCCATTCTGGAGGAGGGGATGAGCTGGCATTCCCAGTTTCCATATGGAGCATGGACCCAAGTGCAAGCTCCAAACAAGACCCAGCTCTCAGAGACACTGGGTCTCTCAGATCCTTGGAGGGAGCATCCTGCACCAAAAGGGGAGCCACCAATGATGGTCCCGATGGGGATACTGCCTGAGAAGTGCTGCAAGCTTCAATGCATGGCCTTCCCCTATGTCCTGGCCTGGCTAGCTCCACCTTGGAGACAGCTGGGATTTCCTGCATTACTTCTGTGGCCCCTATTCAGAGAAATAGCCTCATTGTCATTTTGAGCTGCAAACTTGGTCTCCTGCTCTTGGGATGGGCCTTCCTATCTGAGTTTGGTCTCCAGCAGTGCTCTCAGATGCAGGGTTCAACCCAATGGACAGATGCTTTCAGCCTCTGCCTGCATTTGGGTAAGGAGAAGGGCTCACTGCAGGACTCCTTGCTATCTCCCTGCCACCAACCCAGCTCCATCCCAAGGACCCAGCCTCACTCCACCTGAGAGACCACCTGTGGAGGCCTAGACTACCAACATGGGCACTTCAGGGTCTGGGAGTGCAAGGGCAGGGCCCATGGGTGAGGGTGGGCATCTATGCCTACTGGAAATGTCATCAGGCCTAAGGAACGAGTGGCAAAATGACCTCCTCAGGGCATGCCATGGGAGGCAGACTCCATGGGGTCCTGGACAGAGTTGGCCAAGGACAAAGAGCATGAGGGCAGGGAGAGGTGGCAAAGCACCAGTATTGGGTACCTGGTGAGAAATACCCTGATGGGAAGCCAGGCCAGGATGGCTGTAGGTGCTGCAGAGAGCTCGTGGGCTCATGTCTTGCCTCCTCTCTGGGCTCTGTGTCTCCCATCTCCCCTTCAAGCAAATGCTCAGCAGAGCCACACCACAAAGGAGCCAGATAACCAAGCCCACGTCTTAAAGTGGAAAGAAGATGGTGCAAATGGAAGAGAACCATGGCAAGGAAATGTCATGTCTATCAGCTTTGTAGCTTCCTAACTCTTTTTAATTTTCTGAAACCTCTTGATTTTCTTTCGTGTAAATGTGTTGCTCTTATTTTTCAATTACAATAAAATGGCCTTAAATGATAAGATTTATCAGGGACATAGTCTTATACTGAGCTGTTTCGGTTCCAGCCCCCACAGTGAGATCAGCCAAGCCATGGGTAACAGAGTGCCTTGCACACACTCAAATCCCAGCACCAGCCAGGATCACCTGGGTCATCCCAGCACTGATGTCCTTTCTCCTCCAGCAGACCAACAGCTAGGGAGGCATTGGAGGCATCACCCCAGTCTCCCTGTGACATGCATAGGATGAAGAAGTCCGAGGACAGCCTCCACCCTCACTGGAGGAACTGGGCCTTGCTCTGCCCTGCACCATTCAGGATGAGGCCCCATGGCAGTTGAGGACACCAAGCCAGCAGCAGTGACCTTGGCACCTGAGATGAGTGGAGAGAGGAGGTTGGAGGAGGCTGCATGGGGAGGTGGCCCTGGAAGCAGGGCCCCAAGGACCAGCACAGGAGGTGTGCCCATCATTTGCCATGGCTGAGGGAGAAGCCCCATGCTGTGCGGAGAGGGAGGCCAGAAGGAAGCAGGATGATCAACAAAGGGGCAGCATAAACGCTGGTCAAAAGAACTTTTGAGTTACTGACCCGTGTCCCGGAGACTAGGGAAAGGCAGGCAATTATATGCAGGGAAGATGGGTGGTGGGTCTCATTAGGTGGCCCAGCATGGGAGCTGCTCTGTAGACAGAGAGTGCTGGAGAGGCAGCCACCTGAGTCCAAGCCCAACTCCTGAAGTGGATGTGAATAGGAGGCAGGAGCTGTAACACTGACACTTCCCTAGTGCTGTCTTAAGAGAAATAGCACAAGTGGGATGTGTTGAAGAACGGGGAGTTATTGTCTCACAATTCTGGAGGCTAGTAGTTAAAACTGGGGCAACAACTCTAAGAAGGGGAGGTGTCCATCCACGGTAGCTCCAGGAGTTCCTGGGAAGTCCTTGGTCCCTGTCTACACTCTCTGTGTGTGTCTGTGCCTATTCTTCCCTTTTTTATAACATATCAGCCACCAATTATTTGGTTTAGGACCTACTCTGTTTACTATGACCTCCTAACGTAACAATGGAAACCTTGTTTCCAAAAAGGGTCACATTCATGGAGACAGGGTTAAGACGTCAACAGAAGTTGTTTGGAGGGACAAGAGGAAGGGGAAGAGCACCCGTGGCTCAGGGGGAGAACTCGCACTTTCCAGAGAGGAGATGGGAGGAGGCTGCACGGGGAGGCGACCAAAACCCAGAAGCAGGGCCCCAAAGACCAGCACAGGAGGTGTGTCTAACATTGGCCATGGCTAAGGGAGAAGCCCCATGCTGTACCAGGGGGGGGGGCAGAACCAAGTAGGATGATCGGCAAAGGGGCAGCATAGAGCCTGGTGAAAAGGACTTTTGAGTCACTGACTCTTAGGGATACCACAGGGAAAGGCACGTAATTTTATGCAGGGAAGGTATGTGGACACCAGGTTCCAATTCCTGGCCAATGCACTGCCTATCCAGCAACGGGGTTTGCATGTTGCTGTGATGCTGCATGCCTTTTATTGACCCTTCCAGGCTAAGATGGACTAGGAAGAAAGGCCTAGTAATGGACTTTTGAAAATCAGCCAATGAAAACCTAAGGATTTCAATGTCCCCACAACCAGGCATGGGGTGGGGCATGAAAAGGCAGGGTTTTGTTCCAGTGTGCACAGGGTCAGGATGATTTGGGGGCTGTCATGGCAGCATAGAACAGTAAGAACGTTTACATTTCCAAAGTCAACTTAACTTTTCTGGGGACATAATTTATCCCATAACCCCACAAAAGGGCCTTGTGTTGCACTCAGGGCAGAGCTTCAGGAACCAGAGATGGAGCCTGTTTTGTTCAGTGACTGGTGCCAAACCATGGCCCTTTAAACCATAAGTATTCCACATCACATAGCCATGGGTGAGGGTCAGAGGGCCCTGAATGTCTGCTTTTTTCCTGGCCTGAGGGGCCTGGCAGACAAAGGAATGCTACAACTGTCAGCCCCATCCACTATCCAGAGAGAGTGCTTGATTCAATATTGGCACACTTACACATCTGGACACCCAGTCCAGACCAGAATGTGGCTAGGCAAACCCAGACACAAGCAATGGAGAGAGATGTCAAGGAGCTCTCCACTTGGAGAATGTCCTGGCCCTCAATCCTCACCTGGCAGACAAGGGAACCCCTTTTCCCATATCTCTGCATGACCAGAAGGTCACCACCATCCCTCTGACCATGATGCCCTCAGCCTCTGGCTTGGTCCCCGTACTCAATGACCTGGCCAAGGTGTGATGTCTGAAGCATGGCACTGGAGGTATGCCTCCCAGATGGACAATGTAGGCTGAGAAGGGATCAATGACTTCCTTCACATTCTATCTCCAAGCACAACCATGTCCCTGGCATGAATGTGTTTGGGGCTGGGTGCCTGGTAAAGGTCAGCCACATGGCCAAGGTCACCCCACTGACATGTGGAGAGGTGGGACTGTACTTGGACCTCTGGATTTGAGGCTAGTAACCTACTCCAACGCATGTCCATCCCCAAGCTCTGTTCAAATGCAGGCTGCAGATGATCAGGACAGAGGAAAGAG